ATAAACACATCCATTTCTCTGACATGTATTCTATACAACAAAATATGATTTACGATTTGATATGAATAGGTTTAAGAAATATTTAAACATATTCTCATTAACTTATGTTTGGAGACATAAATTTTAAAGAAAAACATGAATTACATTATATATTATTTCATATTTATTAATTCAAATGACATTTTCTAAACTAAACTCATTATTTGCATTCATTTTTAGGTTGGATTTATCGATTATATCGGTATGTATTTGACTTTTACATTATTTCAATTTTTATAACACAAATTTTTATAACAAATATATTCAATCGAAAATCACCTGAAAGTGTAAAAAAGCACAAAATTTGTCATCAGTTTTATATAATCCCAAGAATTTTGAGTTAAATATTTATGCGATAAGAATGCGAAGGAAAAACTTGATGTACTTATATATCTATACTGTATATACAGTTAGTATTAAAAACGATAGAATTATTACAAGTATATGAAAGAAAATCTTTTTGAGAAACCATTTTTGCTTTTTCATCAATTTTTTTATTTATTTAGTTTTATTTGTTCTGACTTTAAATGTGTGCTTATATTCGGTATATAATGCCGTTTGTATGCCATAAGCCATACGTGACAGACAGTCGTTGGTCTGTATGTCTGCTCTGACTTTCGTTGAGTCCAATGTATGGCCGAAACCCAATCAACGGATATATGCCATAATTGTTTTGCTCGTTAAATGCTATGCCGTTTTACACCGGATATGAGTTACTACTATAATCATAAAACATTTCGACTTAAAACCTATTTATTTATTGATTTCTTATAACAAATACATGGAAAAAACGAGAGATTTGCGATATATAATGATTACAATGCAGTAGTTATCAATATTTAATGATTTTGTTTATGTTTTGTTAACAAATCTCCAAAATAGCATAATTCCTAAAGTTATAAAATTTAAATTACTTTTCCTTCAATTTTCAATCCCTACTCTTAACTCGTTTTAACTATTTTCTTAGCAATTGATTAGATTATAAACCCATTCTAAAAAAATTATTTCAAGTAATTATTTATTACTATTTTATACATTTAAAAAATTTAAAGTTTTTAAGTAAAGGAAACCTTTTATGCCAAACGCAAAGTTAATCAACCATTTCTTGTGCGATAAGCTTTTGATTGGTTTTTTGTTTTTACAATTTTTTGGTTGAATAGCATCTTATCTTTAAATGAGAATTTAAAACATTACATGAAATGAGAATTAGTTATTGAAAATGTGTTTTTTATTGCATAAATAGTTCACCCGTTATGGGAGACGTGGGGAGATCTCGTACATCCAGACGCTCAAGAGATATTAGACACGTTAGAAGACAACAGGGATTGGTATCACAGTATGATTCCCACGAGTCCTACACAAGAGATGAGTGGCGAAGAGGGCGGACCCGTCCGTGACTTAGCGGCCGCCGCAGAGAAAATCAAATTTCAGATCACTTTAGAAGAGCCCGAAGACGAAGAAGAATACGAAGAATCGACTGAAATGATGGAATAGAGTGTCATTTTCTTCGGCACACATTTTTAGGAGACATTTGAGTTATTTTTCAATGAAAACCACAAATCAAACGAATTTGATATTAAAATACGAGAAAAACACAACACGACAGTCAAGTGAAACGAACAGAGGCTGGGATTGTGTGCAATGAACTAATTGTTAAATTAATAAATGTTACGTTAAATATTATAATTGAAATAATAGTTAAATAATTTTATATGAGTTAATATAAATGATGAGTCGTTTCTTTTTTGGGTCTAATATAATGTTATATTAATTGCCATTTATTTCGTATACAATTTAGAAGCGAATTGTTTTCTCTTTTTTCACTAAAACTTTAACGGATTTCCAAATTCATTATAAATGTAAGAATTTATGAAAATATATAAATATATATTATAATGATTGAGACACTAGTCATAAGATTTTACGGAATATATTATCTCTTGTCGTCTAATATGATATATGATATGCAAGAATAATAATAATTAATAACGATAATAATATTAATAACAATTTTAATATACATAATAATAAGTGAATTGAGAAAAAAGTGCAAAAAATTTTCTTTAATACATGAATATTCAATTCAAATGCAATAATGAATGAATTAAATTAATGGTACTATCGATTTGATGCACACTTTTATTATTATTGTTATTTATATGTTGAATGAAAGACTAAATCAAATGCAAAGTTAACACCAATTAAATCGATCCCTAAATTCGTTACAATTAAATAGATTTTCATTATTATATGTCAGTAGAAATAAATTCACCAAAAAATACAATTAATAAATAATGCATTCATTCACATATCAACCCATCGATTGTCTAATATTTGTTCAATTAAATGAATTTATTATTCAGATTAAGTGCCAACACAATCATCAATACCTGTAATATCGGCTATTAGTTAGCATTTGAAATAACTTTTTGTTATTCAATTCAACAACATTTTTATGAGTTTTATCGTTAAATTCATTTAACTCTCGTCTTATTATTACATAACAAATGAACAACATTTAGATATTAAAGTAAATAAATATACATATAGTTTAATAAACCAACCTTTTATTTAATATACTTATTAACATTTTAATTTGACTGTAAATCCAAATGTCAATTGTTTTTACAAAATATATATAAGTTTCATAATTTGTTAATTCATTTTCACCTAATGTTTAGATTTTTGACAATTAATTAATTTGTTGTCGAATTGAATAATAAACTGAAAAATTATTTCAAACCTTTTAGAGTCCATTCTCTTTATGATTGGATTATGATTTGATTAAATTCTAACACTAAATAAAACTTCAATTTGAGTTCATCTCAAAAGGTTTTATTAAAGTTATGATAAAAAAGTAAATAATTAAGAAAAATGTTTGTATTTTGGTTTTTAAAATTTTTAATTTCCGAAACAAACCATTAAAAAGTGCCTCAAATATATGTTTTTGATTTCGAAATGTGTAAAAATTACTGTAAATAAAGTCGAATAAATAAATTATATATATAAAAACGAAATCATTGTCTCATCATTTTGCTATTTTAATTATATTTAATCCTTATAAAAAATACCTTGTTTACTTGAAGTTCAAGATCATGTAAGTATTTTAAATATTAAACAATTAAGCGTATTTATTGTAATTTTTTTTATTATTAATTAGTTGTATTTATTTTTAATAATATTTTACAAATACATTAATATTCTTTCATAATAAATGACTATTTTACATTAATCTATTGACAAATAACAAAATTATAATAGTAATTAATGTTGTTGTCAATACGGTTTGCACTGAATCTTATGATTAATTAATGGCTCGATGTTATCGATTAAAAGCTTTTAAATAATTTATTAAAAATAAAACTCAAATATTCAATATTTTTGGTCAAAATTACGGTTCAAATGGTAAATAGAGAACAAATTTTATTCATTTATTAATCAAAGCAATAAATTACCAAAAATATCAATCATTTATTATTTATTATGCATTGAATGAGAATTAATATGAGATTTATTAACATATAATTTATTGCTGAACAAGAATTTGGATTATTTTAATCGAAAATTATATCCCTTAAGAATCCAATGGAAACATTCATTAAATCACATTTTGTGATATATTTTGTGCAAGTTTTGCATCATCATTGATCAATATTATTTAAATATGCTCAAATGATTTTAAATAATTTAAAATAACTCAAAACTAAATTGCATTTAATATTTAAACATGATTTCAAATCAGAAAATTAATTATAATATATTAATTTGATTAAAAAAAAATAGAATTGTCAATTAATATTTGCCGTATATTAATATCAGAATAAATTACCGCATAAATCAAAATGTGATGCTTTTATTAAAACAAATGTTGAGTTAATTAATAATTTAATTGTAATTAAATGTTATATAATTATTACTGAGACGACTTAAGAGTAGGAATTTGTCCATATTGGGAACAATCTATATGTTAATATACATCATATTAATTATTCAATACAAAGCCCAGCCCTTGTTTATAACTAGATTCTTTAAGTTAGTGAGCGTGCTAATACTTGTGAAATCGATGTTATTCATTTACAGGTAATACAAACACACATTATAAGCATGCTATTAATAACTTTGAATGAGTGATAGTTGTGATTACATGTTTATGTAGACTACATTTGTTCAAATTTCACATTAATTTTATTATCATTTTAATTTAATTATTGATTCATAATAACCTCAAATCGTCTCGTATTGTGAGGTTATAATCATTCAATTATACTGTAAATTGAATTTTATAAAAAATTATACTAAACAATACGATCACAAAACTTCAATAACACATTAAAAACGAATAAATATTTTAAACCTTTAAATATATTGTTATAAAATGTGATTATAAAGTAAAGGAGTGGTAGTGTTTGAGATGATACTGTAATTATGGGGTGTTTTTTAATATAAATGATTATTAAGGAGTATCACAAAAGCGATTTTATTAAATTTTCTAAACAAACAATTAAATCATAACTAACTATAAATATAGCAAAATATTTTAATTAAATTCCGCATTACTAGCGATAAAACATTAGATTCATTTAAATACCTGTTTTGAAAGACATAAATATTTGCATCAATTGTTTCATTATAAGAAAATTAATAGCATTATTATTTTAAATAATTTTTAATGATAGAGTATATCAATGAAAAAATACACAATAAATCTTAATCATACAAAACAAGTCGCCTTTAAATAATTTACATTCATTTATATTAAAATATATATACGTCTGAATAGCTGTCAAAATCTTTTTTTTTCGAGAAAAATTAAATAAATAACAAAAATGAATGTTTAAACATATCATATGTCATAACTCTATAAACATTAAATATAACACTAACTGTAATGAGTTGTTGAATATATTACTTTGAAAACAACTCTTAAATCATATCTCTTTTAAAACATATAATATTCATAATGAGATTCAATGGTAATGTCAATCAGCGAAACGCGTTATACTTTATTATTAAGTAGAATCTCTTCGTCATCGATGTCTTCGTCAGCCATTTTGATTCTGGGCTCACAATTATTCTTCGTCTGTTGGGAACCGTTGCTCTTAATCTGGTTTTGTCTCATTTGAACGTTTTCTGTTTGCTGTGACTCTAAGAGTCGCGAATAATTGCCATTCAATACAACCGCCGGTGAGTTGTCTTTCACTGGTTGTTGCGGTTTTGACTTCTTCTTCTTAGAGGAGCACAATATCGGAGCGCAAATGCAGTGATATATGAGCGCCACTATAAGGCCAGTGATAACGGATATAATGCCCGTTAATCTTAATAAGACACGGAAGCCGTCCTCTAAATATGTATAGCCTTCGGCGTAATCGACGTCCAGATCGTTGAGCCAATACCACCACTCGTTATAGTGAGGCCACGACAACAGCCAAACTCCACCGATGATCGCTCCCAGAGCTCGACCGCCGCCAAAGTGGACCAAATTTAAAGTATACTGAAGTATAATATGTGAGGAATACTTTTGATATATCGTTCCCGTGGCATAAGTGGATGCGTTTGGACTCCTTCTGATGAGATGATGACAATAGGATGTAATGCCAATCCATGCGATCGGAAGAGTGAACGCTTCCATCATTTCAAACGGAATTATAAGCAGTTTTGGGTACAAAAGGAAAGATATGCCGCCGAAGCGAAGGCTGTAGAAAATAAAGGCCAGTATTATTAGGTTCACTCTTCCGACGCCATTGATTAACGATTTGGCGATCAAAGTGAAGGGCGCGGCCGCACCGAAGGCAGCCGTAAATGTCAATCCGATCCACAATTTGCTGGTTTTCATATTCACGTAAAACGGATGCAAAAACGTCTCCAATAAACCCCATTCGGAGCCCAGGATTAGTATTAACGGGAATAGAAAGAGGAGCCGACATATGGCCGACCCTTTAGAGTGCTGTCGCGGGTATGACTCGTTTGTGGGCACAATTGGCGCCCCTTTACCCAATTGTTGCGATATTGACTTAGAGAGCATATTAATGGGCGAGAGGGGCATCATTACCACCAGGAATGCCGTGATTATGACCAGACCGTCAAATACGATGATTGGCGGCGCGTAATTGGGACTGTCGGTCGTGGAGAACGTGTCCACCAGTTGGCCAACAATCGGTGGCCACGCAATCATTGGTATCATTAGTGCCCAAAGTTTAGAGAATCCGCCGTAAATTGAATCAAAATCATTAGTCATCGCAACTGAAAGCGCGTCCAATAGTGTATACGCCGTGAAGAGTGAAAAGTCGGCCAAAGATCTGATGAGCAGATATGAGTAAAACGTTTGTTTCGGATCTCCCGTCTCAATGAGACACGGAGTCGGAGGTCTGAGTGACGAGTCTTTAGCTCGCGATGACTTTGTTCGGTGTCTTAGATTCACGTGACAATAGACGTTGCAGTTGTGGACATAAGGCTTGCAACTAATGGTGTCGAAGAGTTTCTGGTTGAAGAGCAGCGGTGGCGCCGGTTTGTATGTACACGTGAGCTGACCGGCAAACACTCGGCTCACTATATCGTCAGTGGGAGTATCGATGACCGGCCATCTGTCAAACCGGGCGTCAAACTGGACGTATTCGGTCATCGGTTTGGTGTCCACCACATCCGACCCATCCATCGACGAGGACTCAGTTTCCGAGTAATTATCTCTAAAAGTCATTTCAGCTCTTCGCGACGCCCGTACTTCGGACATGAGTCCGTCTTTAGGGTTCACCTCTAAAAGCATAAAACATGTCAATAAAAATAGTGCCGGGAAAGGGTGTGTGAAGTGCTTACCTTTGCAAACACTGCCCATTTCGTTGGTGCTCTGGAAGCAGGCAGTGATAGGAGTGCCGGGAGAAGCAACGGTTCCACTGTATGGGCACTCATAGGTACAACCGGTGAGTTGAAAGTTAGAAAAATTAGTGGCCGGTCTCTTGGCATAAGTGTGGCACTGGCCCTCCCAATTGGGACACTGCTCTATACGCAAGATATTGTCCGAACAGTCAAAGTATATTTTGGGCTGCCTTTCCGTTATAATGACTTTCGGCACGAAGAGTAGTGCCGTATATGCCGTGAATGATATGAGTAGACATAAGACGAGTATTGTCTTGTATTTGTTATACTTGTAAGCGATGGGTCCCAAACACAAGGGCCCGATCATACTTATGAGCGCCACAATCGATGTAATCCATGCCGACTGGATCTTCGTTATGCCGATCTCACGCATATGAGAGCTTAGATACGGCACAATACACGCCAGGGCTGTATAATTGCAATTTAAATATCATTTAGTACTAATCACTTTGATATCAAATATGTGTTTAATTTAATACCAAACCGTGAAATACATATCGTTTGTACCAAAGAATTAAATTTAATTATACAATACATGTATGAATTCTATATTTTGTTTGCCATAAACAGGACTTAACTAATCTATAATCTATTTCATACATCAAAACAAAATTTAATACATTTTTTATACATATTTGATAATTAAATATTTTTTTAAGAGTTAAAAATTAAATTTCTTGAGATAAATAACTAAAATAATAACAAAAATAATTTTAAATATTTCAAAATGATTAGATTAGCCCTAAAAAGTTGTAAGAGATTACTAGTGTTTCAATGGTTTGCCATACATTTAATACCCTTTAAATAAAATTGTTTGTATTTTTTGGAAATAAATCTGAAATGAATACTTAAGAAATGATTATAACAACAATTCTGATCTCATCTGTTAGCTAATGATTAAAACATTTATTGTAACATCAATTCTTGTCTGGCATTAAAATATTTATAAAAATCAATCATTAAAACAAGATTTGAAACGAATATAAGTTTTAATTAAATAACAAACCATTGAAAGGCTTTCAATAACATGTTTTCATATTTAAATTGATACCAAAATATAATACTTTAGATGTGAAGCCAAGTGTAGGATAGGATTTGTTAATGTATTTTCACAACAATTATAACAATAAGGAAATATAAGAATCGAAATAACGATTACCCGAATAGAAGAAACAGTTGACGACATTTAGACCATTCCTCTTGCGTTCAATCGCTTTCAAAGACATTATTATTATATGAGATGTGAACCAAAAATCACTGTTTGAAACAAACTGTTTGTGATATTATATTCTGTATATATATGTTAGACAATTGACGCCTTTAAAAGTTGTGCACTTTTTTGCCACTTATTGTAAAGCGAATGCATTTTTTCATTTGAGAAAAAGAAAGTCACGATTAGTTTACTCGAAGATAATATTGGATAATATTGTCTAATTCACGACGAGAAGCACGAGAAGCAGGTGCTCTGCTCTCTATCTCTCTCTCCCTTTTCCACCACTTCTTCCATCCATACGAGTATCAAATTCAATGTCTTATTATTATTATTGAATGCAATGTTAAATGTTATGGACTGAAACACACGCAACGAAACGCCAATTGGCTTTTATTTTGGTGAAAATTAATGCTTAAACTGAAGTCCAAATTTGTAGCAATAATTCAAAAGCCATACAAAATGTGTGTTTAATTGAATATATCCGGCACTGAAAACAACGAAACATACATATCATATAATATTCATTAAATAGTTTTATGGCACTTAAACATAAGCCTTGTATTCAAATTTATTTTCTTAAATTTTAAGAATTTTTTTAAACAAAACAAAAATATTTATTTATTTATTAGAGTTTATGATTATCTTATATATCATGTGTGTATCTCTCCATCGCATCTCTAACTCTTGTATTTGAGATTTAAAATTAAGGGATTTTATTATTGTTCGCAACAAAAAACTTGAAAGACTTGTCAGTAATTTATTCAAAGTTTTTCTTCCCCTAAAACACAATCCTTATGTAATTGAATGCTATGTTTTCAATGATCTAATGTTATTATTATTCAATCAACAGCCTATTCGCCATCCAAACAATAAATAGTATATGTTTTATGGTTTTATTGCCTAATCGTATAACTTCTAGCACTTTATTAAAAATCTATAAAAACTTTTTTAATTTTTATTGATAGAAATTATCGCTCGATTTGGAGTTAATATATAAAAAATAAACATAAATTGAATTTACGATTTGTATATTAAATTAAACAAAAACTTTGTCTCGATTTTCAATATCTGTCTTGAATTTATATTTTACTTATCAATTGTAGAAATCGTTTCGCCTATAATTGCAGGCAATTTGAAACAATTAAAGTCAATGATAAGTATCTGAAATGTTTAGAGGCTATACATGTCTGTATTGTATAAAGAATATGCGCGTTATTCATGGGGTGCGCGTTATCTACGATTGATTTTTTATTCAAAAATATTGTTAAATTCCTTACTGCGCGTTATACACGGGGTGCGCGTTGTCTATGGGATATTACGGTAATATATTAAATTAAACAAAAACTTTGTCTCGATTTTCAATATCGGTCTTGAATTTATATTTTACTTATCAATTGTAGAAATCGTTTCGCCTATAATTGCAGGCAATTTGAAACAATTAAAGTCAATGATAAGTATCTGAAATGTTTAGAGGCTATACATGTCTGTATTGTAACTGAAATGTTTGAATTAAACTCAATCAGAGAAAAACATATTCAAAATACATGTCAGATAATAGAGTAATAGTGAAGACCGACACGAAGTCAGTGTTTGGTATTTCAAAATTCACATCTCATTTACAATTTATTACAAATCATATATGATTTAAATGTTAAACTAATAATTATACTCAATTTATGTCTTTAATTTGCATAAATATATAAATATTATGATTTCAAATAACTTATTACAATTAAGTTATGAATGTAATAAATTTGTCACTTTTGCTCAACAAAACTAATCTCTATAAAAATTAATTACTAAACCATTTATTGAGTAACAAATAAAATATATTTCACAAATGAAAATGAGTTAAAATCTAATTTAAAGTGTTTTATATGGTATATATGGTAGGGTTATAGCCCTTACCCTCAGATATAATTAATCCAATGATTGTAATCTATTTCATGGATCCAAACATTCAATTAAAAAATTATTAAAATAAAGATTAGTTCAGACATTGAAAAGTGTTATGAAATATAAATCTTAATTAAAAATATGTTTCAAAAACTCCACAGAAGAGCTGAAACAATGCAATCGAGAGGTTATCAGAGGTTATGATGTAATGAAAATATAGTAAATATTTTATTTGAAGACAATTTTAAAATTTAAAAAACTTTTAATGACTTTTGGAAAAATGTTTTGAACGGAAGGGACGGTTGAAAACTTATGTTAAATTTATGTTTTGATTGCTATTATTTGCACAACAATTGAATAACAAATGCATACCTTTTATGAACCAAATTATTATGATTTCATCGTTTGTTTTCAATTTATTGCTCAAAAAATATGTATAAAAAGCGATAAAACAAAGGAAATAATAACAATAATAAATGGGAAGAAATACTTTTGTTGTAATATTTAAGCCATTATTATATGGCGAAGACTAAGAGACACTCTTTTGGACTAAACTATAATAATATGTAATAATATGTAATGTTTTGTAATAATACTAATCATAATAAGTCTTACCTTGAATTGAGACACAATTGAAATACTGAAACGTAAACTCAAACCAATGAATACTTCAATACATTTGAGAGAAAAACTTGTGAACAAATGTTTGTTGAGTTTGGCTTTGAGTTTGAGTTTTACACACAATTCACTGCCGTTTACTCGACTATTATTAGTCGCTTTGATTTTTGTATTCAATTCAATGCAAAACACAGCATAAAAGTTAAACAACAAATATTGTAAACCCAAAAATAAATGGGTTTTACGTTAATATATGACAATTGCGATCACTTGTATGACTCAAACTTTTAACTCATATCTAAACGGTGTGTATAAGAGAGTGAATGAGTGTAAAGATTGTAAGTATGGATATATATAGGGATGACATGAACTCTACCACCAGTTGATGGACACCACATGTAATGCCTGTTCGGGA